GCCGTGTAGACGTGTAATTCACAGCAGCGGGTGTGAAGAATCTGTGCCTGGGTTTTGGTGTCCTGGCTTGTTTTGGGGCCAAGATGAGTGAAAGTCCTGCCCCTGCCCGAGGCCCCAGCGCCCCTTGGCTCTGCCTCCGGCTCCACTGGCCCAGCTCTCAGACCCAGGCTGGAGGCACCAGCCTCCCAGAGGCGGATCCAGCTGCAGGCCGGGTGCTTGCTGGCTCTGATGTGCTGAATGTCCTTTCTCTCCTGTGCCTGGGCGGTGAGAGCCTATGGCCAGCCCACTCGGGTCGCTGCCCCTTCAGGCAGCCAGGGGTCGAGTCCAATGCCACATGGGCCATGTAGTCTGAGAGAGGAGGAGGCAGTCCCCAGAGGGAAGTCAGTACCTGCCATCGGACAAGAGAAGGGTGCACACGGGCAGAAACGAACAAGGTCCATCATAGTCAGTAACACTTTAGTGAGAAATAGCATAGTAGACCACACAGTCCAGGAGGCAGGATGAGAGCCCAGAGCTCTGAAGGGAAAAGGGACCAGGACAGGTAGGGGTGGCTTCTGAGAGTTGCTGGATGTGCAGGAGGCATCACAGTGGCACAGTAGTGAACCTCCTAAGCGTGTGACACGTGTTTGATCCCAGAGGCACACGTGAAAGCCAAACACTGCCATCTCCCTGTTCCAGGGGGACAGAAGCCGAGGCTCAGATGCACTAAAACCTGCAAGGCAATGCCCAGCTTGAAGGGGACAGTGGCAGGATTCCAACTCAGGCCTCTGGTTCCATGGCCAGGTTCCAACCCGCTACAAGAGAGCACTTTCCATTCCAAACCTTCCAGTCATCAGCGAGGGCCGGGCAGGACGCTGAGGTCCTTGCTGACGGTTCTCATGGCTTAGGAAATGGAGGCGCCACAGAAAGAGCCTTGATGTTCCCCGATGTCGCCCTGTTCCTCGCAGAGCTGAGCCTGTACTGAACGCCACGCTGCTGTTCCCTGGCCGCAGGCTGGCTCTGCGTGTGCACGGTGTGCACGTGCACCTGTGTGTGCCCGCGTGTGCAGAGCGGAGTTGCCGTGCTCTTTGCTCACGGGGGCCTGGAGAGGCTGGTGCACATTTCTGGGCCACAAGTTCTTCTAAGAAGCTAGCGGCGGCCACGCCGAATCGCCCCAGCAGGGGCGCTCTACATCCGGGGACCGCCAGGTCCCCCCGCCCCCGGACATCTGCAGACCGGGAAGCCTGGCAACCCCAGCGCCCGTCCACGCCGCCCGATCTGTCTCCACTCGGTGCCCACAGGGCCGGGCCAGGCATCCCCTGCGGTCGCCCTCCCTTCGGGGACACCACGAGGTGATGTCATCCGCGGGACACCCCTCGGGGATGTCTGTGGCCAGCCGGGCCCACAAGTGTCTCCCTCCGGGATGAGGTCAGAGCCCCGGCGGGGATCGGGTTCCACGTTCTCGCCTCGGCTGGCAGCGCCGCCCCAAAAGCTGCTGGAGCCCGGGACGGGCCCGCCAGGAGGGGGCGGCAGCGAGCCCGCCTCGCGCGGGGCTTCCGGGGCTTCCTCTCCCTCTGTGAACGCACACACCTGTGTCACGCGCGCGCGTGCACACCGCGCACACACACAGTGCGACCCGGCGCGGCCCGTCTGGCCTGAGCCGTGTCGCGTCACTTGTGGGAAGGGAAAGGCGAGCCCTGGGGGGTGCGGCGGCTGGGGCGCTGGCATCAGTCTGCAGGGCGCTGCGGCTGCCCAGTGTGGCTTTGCAAACCGCAGACCGCAGTTCAGCAGTGGCCGGGTCCCCACTGGGGCCGCCGTGCGTCACTGTCTGCCACCCGGCCCCTGCAAGCCATTCGCTGAGCCGCAGTGTGACTGCGGAGAGAGCAGAGCCGCCCAGAGTTTTAGGGGACCATGTGTTTCCCTCTGGCAAGGTGTGAGTAGCCAGTAGCAACCCCAGGTTAAAGGCTACACACCCCACCCTCTCCTCAGAGGTGCAGCCTCAGAACCTCCCGAGGTTCCAGACACCCCAGGCACATCCCATAACCTGACCACAGGGTCTTTGCATTTGCTACGTCTTCTGCCCAGAAAGCTGTCTCAGGTCTCTGCTCATTTGCCACCTTCTCTGGGAGGCTCTCTGACCACTCTGTCTAAAGTGCTATCCTAAGCGTTGTTTTCTATTCCTCTTACCCTAGGTTTGCTTTCCCCACTGTGTCTGTAAGGGCCTGGGGTGATAACACACACTTGATTACGTCCCCTCCTGCTAAAGGCCAGCTCCAGGAGGACGGGGAGTTTTGCCCGTCGTGTTTGCTGTTGTGTCCTTGGACCTAGAACAGGCCTGGCACAGTAGATGCTCATTTGAGAGAGAGCAAATGTGTGCTCGGTGCACACTCAGCCGGACGTGAGGCTCACACCTGCAATCCCAGCACTCTGGGAGGCCGAGGCAGGAGGAGCTCACCCATGCTCCTTCAGTGACTTAGCAAGATCCTGTCTTAAAATTTAAAAATAAAACAGAGCCACAGATGGAGCTCCGTACAAAGGCCTTGGCTTCAATCTCCAACACCCCCCAAAACATCACTGAGCTCCAAGCTGGGCTGTGGGATCCGGACTAGAAGAGTCCGAGGCACAGATGACAGTCTGCATGCTTCAGGTGGCAGGGACAGGAGGGAAGAACTTGGAGAGGGGCTGGGGACCCCGCTTTTCTCCCAGGCAGGTGACATTTCATAAAGGGCAGACAGGTGTGGAGGGAGAGCTTTGCAATCTGGCTGCTTGGCCTGAACCCCAGCCCTGCACCTTTGGGAGCCCTGACAAGGCAGGCAGGCTCCTCAACACCAGAGCTGGGAATAGTAACACTTTCCAAGAGCTTCAGGGAGCTCTAATTAGGCAGGACAGGTCACGCATCTATCCCTTTGCCTGGCACTCGGGACGCCTGCATCCACTTTAGCTTTGAAAAGACTCTGTTAAGTGAGGGGCCATGGGCTGTGCAATTTAGGGTAAATTGCTTGACCTCTCTGGGCCCCAGCTGCTTCCTGTGTAAAACAAGAAACTCCACCTCTGTTCTTCCCGGCGCTGATACCCGGTTTGTCCAGCTCCCTAACACGGGTCCTGAGTCAGCAGAGATTCTGTAATCGATTTTTTCTCATTTTGATTTAGCTCCTGGGAACCATTAAGTTTCACAAAACAAAACCAAAACATCCAGCTGGGGTGTGAGGGAGGACCTGAAGGCCCGGAATAAATAGGTGTGCAGGGTGACTCAGGACAGAGAAAGAGAGCCGTGTGGGTGCAGCCTTGTGGAGGGGACAGGCAGAGACTGCGCCTACCGTGGCCCTGAAGGTGTCCCAGTGCTGCCCAAACGCTGGGGACTCTTGTGGCTGCAGGTGACAGCTGAACTCGGATGCTCCAGCATGGCGTGGGTGGGGCACCCTTTCCCCGGCACCCAGGGTGGTGACTGATCAGGACAGGGAACCAATCACCTGGCCAGAGCTGCGAGTGGGTCAGCACCGGGCCAGGCTGGGTCACAGGCTCTGGCCTGCAGGGGTGTGTGTGTGTGTGTGAACAAGTGTGTGTGAGGTGAGGGGGCGAGAGAGGGCACTTATGTGCATATAATAACATGTGAGTATGTGCGTGTGCGTGTGCTGCTTTGAACCGAGACCCGGGGAGGGACGTTCTCCAGTGGGGCCACCTGACACCTTGGGGGGGATGGGCTGGGGACTTGGGGGTGGGCAGCAGCAGGGTCCAGTTAAACACCCAGACTGTAGCCGGGTCACCTGGCTCCCGACCCCAGCTCTGTTCCTGAAACGTATGCTCTTGGTCTCTGTGCCTCAGTTTCCCCACAGGGAAAATGGGGTGTCTTGTGGCTCTGGGAGAGGTCAGGTGAGTGGCGATGGGGAAGGATCAATTAGTGCTAGGCCCCCACTGCCTCGAAGCACAGCTATCTCCACCTCACCCTTAGTGTCATCAAAGCCACCCCTTGAGGTTCCTTTCTGAGGGCTCAGCTGGTGGCCTGCATAGTGGGCCGGGCAGTCCGCTGTGGCTGGAGCTGAGAGTGGGGCTCGGGGCACGAGCCCCCAGGCTCCATCAACAGTCAGTGATGTCCTCCGAGGGGCGTCCACTGTCCCTTCCTCTCCCGGGCTTCCCGCCGGCTGTCCCGAGTGCTCGGGAGTTTAAGCCAAGCTTTTGGTTTGTCTCAGAAGTTCTTTGCTTACGTCTCTGTCGCAGGCTGTGCAGCCTTTTACAAGCGGGGACCCCTCGTGGCTGTGCGTGCCTTGGTGCCGGTGGTGATAATCATCGCTGCAGAAAACGCGATGGCACACTCCTGGGGAGTGACACACCCAGGGGAGGACAATGGCCCGGGTGCTGTGGGTCCGGTGCCAGCCGCCAGGGGGCCTCACCGCAAGGCTGTGCTGGGACAGTCACATCCTGACCTCCTCTGTGCAGTGGTTGGATGGTGCCTGGGGGTTGCACTGGGGCCCTGATCACCGCTGGCTGGGGGAGGGAGGATTCGCTGCAGGAATCTGCACACAGAGGCAGGATCTCATCGCAAGGAAGGGATGAGCAGTCTGACCCCGGCTCCTCTCAGCTGGAAATCAGCAACCTCCCTGAGTGGACCTTCCTGACCTCCCTGGCTGACGACCAGGAACTCGCATGGGGCGTCATCACGAAGATGAGAGCTCCAGCCAAAATTCAAGGGCCCAAGTGGGCTCTTCAGAGGCTGCTTCGGGCCGACACGCAGGTGGCCTGGCATCCTAGCGAGCCGGGTGCAGCTGAACCTGACAGCCAGGCTGGGCGTGGCCCTGAAGGGCGCCCTGTGCTCCGCAGCGACCCCTGGTGGTGGTGAGAAGCATCAACTGAAGCAGGCTGGGGCGCTGGGGAACCCAACTGGCCCCCGGGGACCCTGGGAACCCCGGGGATCTTGGACAATGGGGGGGTGAAGAAGTGGAAGGACCGTGAGGAAGAATCAGACTTCCTTCTCTTGCATGCAAAACAGCTCATCCCGAAACATGAAGGCAATAGGGAGGCACCTCGGTGGTCCTGTATTAATTTTTTATTTTTATTTTTCGGTCTTTGGCACTGCTGGGGTGCAATCCAGGGCCTTGTACCGGCCAGGTGAACACGCCACCCCTGAGCTCCACCCCCAACCCCTCCTTTTGTTCTGCACTTAACTGAGCGCAGTGATTTCTGTCTTGTTTTGGCTTGGTTTGATCTGGTTTCCTGACGGGCTGGGAATCCAGGGCCTGGCAGAGTCTGGGGAGCCCCTGCCACTGAGCCCCAGCCCTGTCTTTACGGAAGGGCCACGTAATAAATGGTTCAGGTTTTGTGGGCCTTATGGTTTCTGTTCCAAAAAATAAATCCACTACGATAGTAGGATGCAAGCAGGTGACCCCGAGAAGGGCCGCGTGTACAACCTCAAACCTTATTCACAGCAGCAGCCAGCCGTGGGCCGGGTTTGCTGACCCCGCGGAAAAACGGTTCCACCAAGCTTTCTTCCCCTGGACAGATCGCACAACTGCTGTTTCTCCCTTTGTGTTAATGGAGACGTTAATTATTCTCATCTCCTTGTGGCCACTTGAAGCTCAATTATAAAAGCTTAGTGCTCTTTTGCCTTTGGTGTTATTCTCTATTCAGCCATGTTGTTTGTGTAAATGTATACACACGTGTGTGCACACACTCAGGAATGTACTACTGGTGGGTCGCTCATCTGCTCCCCGAGTCTGGAAAAGTTTATGAATATCAAACAGTATCTGCTGGCATCGTATGACCAAGACACATCACTTTGTACTCTGTACCCCGCACCCTGGCCCAGCCTGGCCACAGCACTGTGACACAGGCGCGAGCTGGCACCAGGATTTTCCACTAGACAACCGCCTGCTCCAGCAGCCAGCTCAGAGATCGGCTTGCCTCAAAGGTACAGCCAAGTCCGGGGCCTCCGGGGCAGGTCTGGGGGAAAACCACCAAGCGGTTTGGGAAATGGCTGGGTCGAAGTGGTTTGGGATTCCCTCCCCCTGGTCTCCAGACAGCCCCGCCCTTTGTCTTGGAAGGATCTTATTTTATTTTATCTATATTTTTTTTTTCTGATGCTGGAGATCTAACCAGGACCTTATGCATGCAAGGCAAGAACTCGGCCACTGAGCCACATTCCCAGTCCTTGGAGGGTTTTTTTTTTTTTTAAATCTTTAAGCAGAGTGTTAGCCATGCTGGTTACACAGCAGGCCGTTGTTCTGTGCTCAGAGGTATTTAAAAAACAGTGGAACAATGGATGGAGCATGGGTCTCTGTTTAAATTAAAGGAAATGGGAATCGGGCTGCAGGGTTGTATCAGGGTTTGGGGAGAGAGAATCCCCCAGAGGGACTGACCACACAGGGAGCTGACCACAACCAAGGGGCTGCTTCTTGGCCTCAGGTGCTCCATCCTTGAATCAGCAAGGTGGCCATGGGAGAGAGGGAGGAGCAGGAGGCAGGGGAGGATGGGGAGGATCTGCAGCCCCCGGGGCCAGCTGCGGGACCTCACCAGCCTCACACCACCCCAGCAGCACCTGTGGGGACCCACTCGGGCTCTGGAGGGGAGGTGGCATTTCAGCAAGGTACGGCTGCGGGGCGTCCACTCGCGGTGCTCGGCCCACCTGCCCAGCACACAGCAACGGGACACCCACTGCTTCCCTTCGCCTTCTCATTGGTTCCTGTAGCTGTGCTGACCAGAAACTACGCAGGGCCAGGCATTCCGGGAGTCAACACAATCCTGTCCGCCACAGTCCTCACTCTGAAGGTAACAGTGGGGGAGCTGACCAGGCTTTATTAGAACCCTCACTCCCGACTTGGTTCAAATGTAGACCTTGGAGACATCCACAAGAAAAAGTCCTGCCATGGAAGGAGGAGCCGAGGGCCCAGAAAACCTAAATCTTAACTACTCACTGTTCAATTTAGGCCCAGGGTCATAACCTGTCTGCAATTACGCTGCATTGATCATAAAATGGGATCAAAAATGCCTATGTAAGACTCAGCACAGTGGCTGCATACAGTCGGTGCTCAATAAATGAAACAGGAATTCACCAAGTCATGGACAGGGTGGCATGGTTTCCAGAACACACCAGTCCATTGGGCCCTCCCACAGGACCAAACTCCGGGGAGTCAGGGGTTCTGATGAATGGCAGATGGGGATGGATGGATGGATGGATGGATGGCAGATCACTCCCATTTAAACCACTCAAAGTAGCTGGTTAAGTGGCCAAGCCAGGGTTGTCTCTGCCCTCCTGCCCTTTCCAGCACAGCCCACTGTGACTGTCCCCTCGGCCAGGACATTCTGGGACTGCAGCAGGCAGGTGGCTTGTGTCCTTTGATTTCCCTGCTCCCTGGTGCTATCCTGACTGCACCACGGGCTCCACAGGCTGCAGGGACCCTGGCTGTGGGTGGCGCCCTCCAGCTGCCCACAGAGGCCTCATCCCGTCCCCCACCCCGCAGTCACTCCTGGGGCGAACGGTGAAGCTGTCAAGTGCTGGGAGCTGGGCTGGAAACCGAGGATGCCCCAGCAGGGGAAGGAGATGTAGCCGTTCCCAGAGGCCACGGCAGGCCACCAAGGCGGCCCCAGGGACTGCCCTGTGCTCCCTGCATGGGGAATATAAAGCGGAGAAGGAGAAGGCAGTGTAGGGTGCAGAGGCTGTAGCTTTGCACAGGCTGTCTGGGAAGGCCTCCGGGAGAAGGTGGCAGCCAGCTGGAGATGGACAGGAGAAGGAATCAGGAACCCCACAGACGGTCTTCCAGGCAGAGTGAGCGCATGCAAAGGCCCTGGGGTAGGGGCTCAAGAGTAGAGGCTCAGGAAAGGGGCCCATGTGGCTGAAGCAGGTGGTGGGCAGACAGTACAGGAGGAGGCCCGAGAGAGACTCAGGGCCAGACCTCGAGGGACCGGAGACCCAGTGAGGAGATGGTGGTCAGAGAGACTCCTGCCCAGCACACCAGGCACTGCCTCCTTCATCAGCACCAAATCGAGGAGACACAGGGATGCCCCTAGATGCTAGAGGGGGAAACTGAGGCCTACGGAGATCACGTGACTGGCTCTCCTATGTTACAGCTTTAGGTTGTGGCTGAGTTGGAATGAAAGGCAGGGCAGGGCCTTCAGGCCCGGGGTGGAGCAGAGGCCACCCTGGACCCCCAGGATCCCAAGCTGGAATTAGGGCGCGCCCGAGGCTCTGAGCAGTGGGGCGGGGACGGCACACCCGGACCTCGGGTCCCAGCTCCCCGCATGAGTCACCGTGGCTGCAGATCGCAGGGACAGGGATGAGGGACGCGCTGTTCCCGGCTCCTCGGGGACCGTAGCCCCCGAGGGCCCAGCGCCAGGCGGGTGGGAAGCGCCGCCCCGCGGCCTCCTCCTCCGCCCCACATTCGCGTGGCCGCCCGCCAGCCACCGGCAGCCAAGACGCTGGCGCTTTAAAGATCCAACAGAGCAGTTTTTGAGAAATCTGAGCCCCAGACGTGAGATTTTCCTGCTTTCTCCCGCAGGTTGTAAAAGCCGCGGCGTAGGTGACCCCGCTGGAAGTGCTCGCCCCGCCCTGCCACCTTGATCTTCAGGCGCTTTCTTAGTGGGGAAACTGAGGCAGCAAGGGGTTAAAATAACAACCGAAGTTAAGACGGTGGGCCACAAATGCCTGCACACAGCCCGGCATGGCCCCGGGAGCTTGGGGTTGATTCTAGATCATTTGGAAAGGTCCTCGTGGAGTCAGGGGCCCCCAGATTTATAGATGGGATTTTAGTTAGTAGGGTTGGTGTATAAATAAGCAAAGGCCAACTGGCAAAACACTCCTGCTCCATATCCTCCTTGGGGCAGAGCCCCAGTTTCATTTACTGTGGCCTTGTATCTGATCTAAAGACCCAACAACTCCCGCCTTGTTTAGAACTGGCCAGTGAGATAAAAAGTAGAGGAGGCTCTTTACAACGACTGTACAACAACTTTGCTCACTTACTGGAAACGGAGCCTTTTTGGCCCGCCATTCTTTTGCCTCCTTTTTCCTGCCTGGAATGCTAACATGATAGCCGGAGCCCTGGCAGCCATCTCAGACCCTGGTTTGTCCTTAAGCATGAGCTGTGTGTCAAGGGTGATGGAGCACGAACTGGGTGAGGTAATGACATCTCGACACTGCCCAGGCCAGAGCTGAATTCCCCTCTATGCAAGGGGCGGTCAGCACCTCATTCTAATGCTGAATTTGGGTCTCCTGTGTATTGCTCTGTGTATAGCGATGTCTGCTGAGCCACTGCCATGTGTGGAGGGCTGTGCCTCACCGCCTCACCTGCAACCCTCACAAACCCGAGGAGGCGGGTGGGCTCCGGGCCCAGGGCTTCTGCAGTGGCACCTTGGCCGTGCCTCCCTGTCCTTCCTTCTAACGTGGAAGCAGCCGCAGCGGCCGCTGCACGAGCAGGGTCACACACACCCAGCCTGGAACCGTGCCTGGCACACAGTAGTACCCTGTACACGCCAGCCGGCCCCGATCATGGGAGGGGCGGGAATGACGATGTGTCCATGCTTCCGCTGTGGCCTGGTGTGAGGGGTGGAGCAGGAATTTGAACTGAGACAGAATCCTGCTGCTAAAATAAAATTAGATACTTTCAAAATGATCTGTGGCAAGCATTGTATCTACCTTGAATGCTAGGTCATGGCATGTCTCGTGCACCTATAAAATAATTAATATGCAACTAGTGTGTCAGTGATTCAGCTAATGAAGTAATATTTGATTTTTAAAGCACACGTCAGGCACAGTGGTGCACCCCTGTCCTCCCAGCTACTCAGGAAGCTGAGGCAGGAGGATCACACGTTCATGGCCTGTCTGGGCAACTTAATAAGACCATGTCTTAAAGTCAAAAAATGAATTAAGGGCTGGGGGTTGTGGCTCGGTGGTACGGCACTCGCTCAGTGTGTGTGAGACCCTAAACTGGATCCCCAGCAGTACAAAATAAATAAACACCGACAGACAGAGCCTTACTGTGCACTCGGGCGGAGGCCATGGCCATGTGGAGGGCGGCTCTGCCCTGGGTGGGGGACACCTGGGCGAGTCTCCTCAGTGGTCAGCAGGGTTGTGAATGAGATGCTCCCAGTGGGGCTGGGCACAAACTCCATGAGGTTTCTCATCGGGATCCCCGGAACTAAAGGAAACAAGGTTCACACCCATACAGTGACCCCTGGGTGTTATACGCAGGCTGAGACCTGTGTGACAGCCGTGCTTTTTGTCCATGATCTTCATGCTGTGTATTCTGTTAGCCCAGGACGTGAGGGGTGTGGGGACTGGGTTCCCTTGGGAAGAAACTGTAGCTCACAGGAACCCGGAGCCTCTGCTGCCAGCTCACCGTGCCAGCTGCAGCCACAGCGTGTCACATCTGCTTCGGCTGCCATCTGAAAACACCACTCTCCTGAGGCCTGGTGTTCCCTTTGGGGAGAAGTGCGGGCCTTTGTTCTGTGATGTCACCGGGGTCTGGGCACTGTCTCCCCGTGGCACGCGGATTTCAGGCTTGGGGCTGATGGGGTTGGCAACATACTTGTGGGCTGGAGTCATCTCCAAGAGGCTCTGGGCCAGGCTGGGCCACTTGTCGTCATCATGGGTGTTTTGTGGCTGTCAATCCCCTCTGTCAGTCGCTCACCCAGGGGTTTTAGGCTGCTGACCTGGAGAGGTTGTATGTGGGATCCTCGGGGAGCCGTTTGCCTCTTGGGGGGACATTGAGCAGTGTCCGGGGACAATTTTGGTTGTTACCCCTGGGGGAGGAGGGTGGGGTGCTGATGAGCAGTCTGCGGGAGACAGGACAGTGCCGCCCCAGAGAATCACCCACCCGAGGGAAACCCATCCTGATCCTCCTGGTTGACTGAGCAGATTCTGCCTGCCTAGTGCGCACCAGGCCTGGGCCTGGGGGTGAGGCTGCGGCTGGGGCCTGAGGTCTCCACTCCTTGTGTCACCCACATTCTGGTGGAGAAGTCAGGCTTTAAAACCAAGATCATCGCAGGTGACAGAGCTGCCACAGGACCCGGGCAACGCCACACACTGGCACAGGGCTGGCATGAGCGAGGCCTCCAGGAGCTGATGAATGTGGCTGCGGCCGTGAGCTCTCAGGCTGTGGGCTAAGGCTGTGTCCTTGGGCAAGGTCACTGCTCTGTGCCTCGGTTTCTTCATCTGTGACATGGCGGTTGTCATGGGACCCTCCCTCCCTTGGAGCATGACGGGGACCCAGGGAGGGAGCCGTGTGGACTGGGAACACAGCTGGCTCACACTAAGTGCTCGGGACACAGGAGTGACTTCATTCATGCACTCTGTCACTTCATTCATTCTTCCCGCCCACCTCTCCTGCTCTGACGCCCAGGACCCTGTCACCTTCTGTGGCTCTCACTGGCCAAGTGTACCCAGCATAGTGTGTGGATCCACCAGAAGGTGCCCGAGGCTTGGTGACCTGGACTAGTGACCAAGGCACAGCCTGTTCTGGCCCTGGGCCGGGAGCACCAGTGCAGCTCCATAGCCCCAGCTGAGCCTTGGGGTTGCCGCGGTGACCCCGAGTGGCGAGGTGCCTTGTGGGTGGCCCCTGTCTCCGTGACTGCACCCGAGCATCTGGGTTGAGTGTGGAGCAGCTGTGTCCCCAAGAGAGAAGCCAGGGTGGTGACGGGGAAGTCACAGGACCCTCCTCACCCCTGCGCCATCCGTTGAGCATGAAGTCTGGCACCGTCCTCTGCTTCCTTTTGGGGAGCAGACACCAGCACAGGGCTCCCCAAGGGCCATGCCCTGGCCGGCAGTCTCCCCAGGGCCACTGCTTCCTGGGCTCAGGCCCAGAGGCAGCTCCCACCTGTCCCTTCCCCGACACAGCCCCTTGGCCTGGCAAGCAGCTCCTTGGGGTCCCCCCAGCCCGTCCCCAGAAAACCTACCTGGGTCTGGAGGCGACTCCGGGGAGTGGCTAGCAGGAGAGTCACCAGGCTGGGACTGACTTCTGCCAACCCGCTTCCTCTAAGTGGGCTTTGAATGTGCTGTCACAGTCTTTTGAGCTGTTTTCAAAATTGAAATTCAGTTTTTGGAATACTTTGAGCTTCTTCCTGAATTTTCTGCTTTAAATTAAGAACAGGATACAGAAAGGATTCTCTGACCTTTCTCCTTGTTCGATTTTTAACCTAATAAATGTGATAAATAGCTGGGCAAGGCGGTGCACAGCTATCATCCCAGCACTCCGGGAGGCTGAGGCAGGAGGATCACAAGTCTGAGCCCTGCTTTCACAATTTAGACTTAATGAGACGCCATCTCTAAACTGAGGGGGAAAAAACTTGTAGCTCGGTGCAAAGCATTTGCATTCAATCCCCCATACCACAAAAAACATAAATAAGAATAATTTTAAAAACATTAAATATCATACAATTAAAAACAACTCTTCATAAGGGGTTAATTTGAAATAAAAACTGTAGAATAATAACATTGACTGTTGTAGTAAAGATCACATCACAACACAGTGACACATGTGCACTCATGTTTATAGCAGCTCTTGTACATTGCTGGTTTCTGTGAGCAGGTCTGGTTTCTTAGCCCTTCATTAATGTAAAGGGGACACTAAAGTTGTGCCCATTTTCTAGATGTGAAAGCAGAGGCACAATGAAGTTAAGTGGCAAAGATGACCTTGCTGATAGGTGGGTGGGTGGGTATCTGAGGCCAGGCTCTCACTCCAGAGTCTGGTCCCTGACCATTGACCTATGAGACCCAGGAGGCCTGGGTTCCCAATGCCCTTACCCTATGATGATGTCATTCCTCTCCTGCAGAGAGCAGAGGTTGCAGGACACACCCCTGCCCTGACCTTGCTGTCCCTGTGGCCCAGCTGAGGGTCCATCTGGTGGGCAGCGAACTCTCTCAAAGCTCCTCCAATGAGGCTCCACGAGCCTGGGTATCTCAGAGGCACGAGGCACACATGAAAACTTCAAAGCCACTTCCCTCCAGCCAGTGAAACCCAAGGGTATCCCTGAAGGGTTTAGCAGGGGTGCCAGTGGGCAGAGCAGTTTTGTTTAATGATGCTTCCTTTTGATCAAGCAGGAAAAAAAAAGGCTCCAATGCTCAAAAGGCTGTTTACAAACTCCAGCTGTGACCGCTGACCCACATCATGCCGCTAATGGCAGAACAGAGCTTCACGCACTGTGGAATGCATGGAAAGGTCGCCCCTTCCCCCCAACACCCGCCCCCCTCCTGAGTCCAATTCTTTGTCACTCATAATTGCTGTAATTAGTGCTATCTGTACAGAAATCCCAGGCGTTTCCTTTGTCGCTCCCTGTCCCAAGCTGTGCCGTTAAAACAGAGCTTTGACTCTGGTGGAGCCGAAACATCCACGTTTAACAGGGCTGCATCTGTTAAAATTTCAGAATATGAGCCCTGCATCAGATTTCCATTTACAATCCCTTATCTCTGTTGGGGCTAAGTTTCACTAAACATAACAGTGCATTTAAAAAAAAAAAAACCCTATGACTTAAAAATAAGGTCAAAAATCGTTATCCTCACCAAAAATATCACCAGAAACCTAGATTCTGTCCCCTCTGATCCTCGCAGGTGGCCTCCATTGTCAAGGTGATACTGCGATTCAACGTGGCTGCTACAGATCCAGCCATCTCGCCCACACTCTAGGGAGGCAGTCAGAAGAGTCTAAGGTGTCAAAGGTGCCTGACGGCCTCCTTTTCATTGTCTTTCTTTTAATATGCACTTCCGTTATATTCATAGGCTAAACCTAGTTCGGTAGTCCTGTGGCGATGCACTTAGCTGCAAAGGATCCTGGGAAATGTAGTCTTTGGATGCTGGCTGTCAATCAGCAGCTTTCCGTAGACTTCACGCAGGTTATGTGACTCTCAGCCCTGCAGTAAGAGTTCTGATCACTCAGAACGGTGCTGGGGACCAAGGTGTCCCTGAGACTTCTCCCATCAGGCACTGCCCATGAATCATTACTTGATCTTGGGATAGAAAGGACTCACTGGCTTTAGGTAAGGACTTTGGCTCCCACAAAACTGGAGTCGCTGCCCACTGTGTTCCCAGGAATTTCTCCAAGGTCGGCCTCCGAGGCACCCCGTCCCAGGAACCTGGCCCCACACCCCCTGCCTTCGCCCCGCCCCCAGGTTGGCTCCCCGCCTCCCCCTCGGCCCCTCTGTATCCACTGCCTGGGCCACAGCCTGGAGGTCAGGTCTGTCCTGAGGTGCAGAGGGGCACGTTTTCCCAGGGACGGACTGAGGGGAACAGCCCTGAGCTGAGGCGCTGGCTCTCACCCGGGGCAGTGTGGACCCCTGGCAGACAGCTGGTAGGATCTCCACACAGCTTGTGTTGTCACAGCTGGGCATGGAGGGGATGGGGGGGGCACCCACCAGGAGACGCCCGGGCATCAGGGCAACAGCAAAGTGGCTGCTCTCCCTCTGCCCGGCACCCCCTGCCAACCCACGCCTGCTTTGGGGCCAGCACCACGGGCTAAAACCCTGCGACCAGAGAAACCTGTCCGCCTCTAATCTGTGGTGTCGGCTATTGCGTCCCAGGATGACAAAAATGACTGAGGCCAACCGGAAAGAGTGCATGTGGAGTGAAGGGGGGGCAGTAGGGAGCCGGACGTGCAGCCCCTCACCCCGGAAGGCATGTGGAACCCGGGCTGTGAAAGTTCAGCAGCTCTGCTATGGCCGAAACACCCTTCTACCTGTATTTAAAATTGAGATCACACCCCATAACAATGCATGCTAAAAATCTATGCCAATAATTTAAATATTGTAATATTTCCTTGTAGCAAAGCAGAACACCCAGAGAGCCGGAGCCGGGGCTGAAAGACAGGAAGACAGGTCAGAACTGTGAGCGGCATTTCTTTTTTTTGGTCGTGCTCTTCTAGCAAGGGCCCTGTGCACTTTCCTCTCACAGTGGCCCCACGAGTTCCGTCCTGTGCAGGATGGAAAGAAGCCAGGGCAGCCAGGATCAGGGCGCAGAGTGGGGCTCAGGGTGGGCTTGGCGCCGGGCCCGGAGCCCCCCTTTTCGGAGAGGAAGGAGCTGTGATTTGTTGTGCTCCGTTCGGCTAATCAAGCTGCCGGGCAGGCACCAGCAGTAACCGAGGCTCTAGCACAATATTGTCTTTGGCTCCCGGCCTCACCTTGAAGGTGAAGTTTAGGGGGGCAGCGGCTGCTCTGAGCTCACCCCTCGGGTCCCTCTGGAGGTGCCCAGGCACGAAGAAAGCTCATTTTTCTGCTCTTAAAAACAATCAGGCCCTTTTCCTTTCTCAGTCTTTTATTTTCAGTCTAAATTAGAAAGGGTAAGGAGCATGGCTTGGCCCGTCCCCCGGCCCTAGGAGGGGCTGTGAACAGAAGCACAGGGCCCGGCTAATCTCTATAAGCCGTATGTATGTATTTCTTTATTTATGAAACAGGATCTTGTATAGTTCAAGTTGGCCTGCAACTCATTACGTAGCCCAGGCTGGCCTCACTGACAGTCCTCCTGCCTCAGCCTCCCAAGTGCTGAGATTACAGGTGTGCACCACCACACCCAGCCAGGAGCCAGACTATGATGAAGGCACCAGGCCACCCACAGATGTCCCTCAGTGGCCCAGCACTGATCCACCACTGGCCATCACACTAGTTCAGCTCTGCCCTGCGCAAATCAGCCTCCAGATCAGGCAGGTGGGGAGCAGGGACAAAGGTCACAGGCAGCTTTCATGGGATGCCATCCTCTAGCGCCTACAGGTGTCTGTGCCCCCTTGACAGGTAGAAGGACCATGCCCTGCAGAGCAGCCCTGTGCCTGGTGATCAGCGATCTGGAAGGAACTGGGAGGGAAGCCAGGTGGCAGGGGAAGTTTGCCACGGGGCCCAGAGCAGCCAGTAGCTATGCCACCGTCCAGGTGTCCGGGCAGGGGTGTAGGGAGCTTCCTCCAGTGTGGGCATTCAGAGAGATGAGGACAGGCTGGGGGCTGAGCTTGGGTTGGGCAGCATGTGGCTGTGACCCTGATCAGCAGCTCCACCAATGATCTTGGGGGACACCTCACACCCTGCCACACCTCAGTTTCCCTCTCTGTAAATTGGGGTGGAGATCATTTTGTCTCTTGGCCCATTGTCCCCACCATGGGGCTAAGGACTGGGTCTGACTCACTGGCCTCCGTATCCCCAGGTCTGTAGGCGCTCAGCACAGAGCAAGCCTTCAGCGACACTGAATCTCTCAGATTGGCTCACTGGTTAATGAGGCCATGGAGATGCCAAGCCCTGTTCCCTGTTCCCGGGGTTCACATCCAGTCCTCGCTGGGAGAACTGCAGATCAGAGAACTGCTACGGACATCTGAGGAGCCATTTGCAAAGCCCAGGACCCCCAACCTCCCCCAGGGATGGCAAAGTGGGGACACTGCTTCCAGCCCGTTTGTGAGTGTGGCACAGGGACTGAACCTGGCCTTTCACAGTGATCAGCATCCCTGCCCCTTTGAAATTTTTATTTCGAGAGAGGGTCTTGCTAAATTGCCCAGAATGAGCTTGAACTTTCAATCTTCCTGCCTCCGCCCCCCAGAGTGCTGAGATCACGGGCGTGCACCCCAGTGTCCGGCTTCTTTAGCCAGCTACCGTCAGGAGGTAAAAGCATGGGAAGCACACGGCCCGGGGAACAAACTCTGCAGGTCGATATTCAAGAGACTGTGAGCTGCGTGCCCCGTGGGGTGCCAGGGCAGAGGCCGTGACGTGCTGGTTCTTTGAAGCCTCTCAGAACCTCGGTTTCCTCATCTGTAAAGTGAGGAGGGTGAGGCCCAGCTCGCAGGGTGAGATGGGCCATCCCTGGGGTACCCTCTTCTGGCACAGGTATTGGACTGTGATGTGGAGTCGTGGCTGCTGCCTCGAGACAGCCTTGGTCACGTGGGCACCACACCAAATCCCACGTTTATTGCCAGTGCCTCCCCAGCTAAGCCTCAGGCTCCTCATCTGTGAAGTGGGGATGACATGGGGCTTATTGTAAGGAGTACGTGGGACTCAGAGTCCACCACTGCCCGTGAGCGCCAGTCTCCATTCATCTCGCCTCGCCTGGTTTGTCAAGGGCAGTGGGGCAAGGCCTGGCCTGCGTCCCCCAGATGGGCCATCTCTCCCTTAAGCCAATGTTTTGTCTGGGAACCCCAGAGCAGTGGCTGAAACTGCACCCGAAATGATACCTTTGCGGCTCTGGCAAGTTGTAAAAACTGAGTAGAAGAACACGGGTGTGTTCCAGACAAAAGCCACCTGTGGGCCGGCCCAACTGCGGGGCTCCCCGGAGACCCCGAAACCTGCCCTGATGGAAGGGCAAGACACGAGCCAGTCTTGGCTGGAGAAGGGTAGAGCATGCTGGTCCCTGGGTGTCTGCAAGGCCCCAGGACACCCGGCTCCCCATAAAGTGCTGAGGTGTTTGCACCTGATCTCCTCTGTGCTTGGAACCCTCCCTATGTGACTTACCACACCCCAGATAACGAAAACCCTGTGTTGTGTACACAGTCGTTCTGTCATACTGCTCAGGGCATAATGAAAGGAAAGGGTCTGCACATGTTTAACACCAGCTCGGTTTCTTAAATATTTTCCATCTGCGGTTGGTTGGATCCAGGGACGTGGAAGCTGCGGGGAGGGGGGCTGAGTGTAGCAGCCGGGATAATGCAGGACAGCTCAGCGTCTGTCGCAAGCCTGCTGGAACCCCACAGCGGGCTGCCAGCCGGGGCTGCGAGGGGTTAAGACTGATAAGTCCTGCACCAAGAGCTCTCCACCCAGGGCCACGGGGACCTCTGCCAGGCCACACACCAGCCCTGCCCAGGTTAGAGGCAGCAGGCAGCCCCCAGCCCTGGAGAGATCCTGGTGCTGCTGGGTGCCTCTGGGTGCCAGGAGTGACACTCCACAATCAGAGAAGCAGAAAGGGCGTGCGTGCATGCATGTGGGGACCGAGCTCCCCTGGTGCTGCTGCCTCCTCTGTGAGAGGCCTTGATGGGTCCCCGCCAGCACCCCTGACTCAGGCGATGTCATCACAGCACAGCACTTCTCCAAACAAAGCCAGGGCCCCGCGGTGAGCCGAGGGCTGCCGCAAATGAGGGGTCTCTGAGCTGCCAAACTGCAGCCCCATGCAGGCTATTTTTACCAGGAGAGAGGCGGGTGGCAGACACGGGCAGCCATGGGAAAGACACAGCGTCACTTTCACGATGACCTGCAGGGCACCGTCTCTCACACGCTGTCCCCTCCTGAGCCCTGCCGGGGTTTCAGAGACGAGGCCAAAGCTCGGAGGGCAGGAGCAGCTCCCGGCTCTGCCACTCACCGCTCTGTGCCCCTGCGTGGTCCGTGTCATCTCTGGGAGCCTCAGTGTCCTGGTCCATGCAGTGGGTGGCGGGAGTGGTTCCTAGGCAGGGGAGGGAGGACTCCACGGGGGGGACAAAGCCACACGCAATGCGGACGAGCCACGCTGCAAATGGCCGCTATTAAACGCTTCGTGGAGCAGAATTTAGCTGCTGGGATAAAGGGTCACATACCTGCAGGCTGAACACGACGCAGGCTTGGGCGCTGCAGGCCTGGAGTCCAGCGTCCTCCTGGAGACCCGAGGGGAGAGTCTTGCTTCTTTCAGCTTAGAGGTCTCAGCTCCTTGGCTCAGGGCTTCATCTGCTCAGGGGCAGCGAGCATCTTACACACAAGCACCCACGAGCATGCTGTCTCTCTGTGTCTCTGTCCTTGGGTCTCTGCCTCTATCT